GCAGAGAACAAGTTTCTCATCACACAGGGTGGGCCTCCCGACTGGACTCTGATTCTCTGGTCTTGGGACAAGGCCAAAGCCCATGGCGCCGTGAAGGTTTCCAACCTGACAGGCTCTATGATCCATGAGTGCTCCTTCAACCCCCAGGACTCGTCGCTCGTTTGTGTCATCGGTGATGGCGTCTTTAAATTCTTCCGACTTCAAGACGGTACCTTCAAAGGAATTCCCAACCAGCTTTCAAAGATGAGGGAGGCTTTCAATCAGAACTACATGTGCCACACCTGGCTAAATGATGACCGCCTCATTGTCTGTAGCGAAGCTGGCGATGCCTTGCTCTTCGACAGTGGCGGGGAATTCAAGATGGTCCTTCCCAGCTCTCCGGCCGAGCCTCGGTCTCTTCTTTGCGTGGCCTCCTTCAGCCGAGGCTTCATCGCAGGTGGCGAAAAGGGTACCGTCACCTTTTATGAACGCAGTGACGACGCCAAGGAGATGTTCCGCAAAGCCAAGGAGGTGAAGCTCGACTCTGCCACGGCACTGGGATCGCTGGCAGTCGGTGCAGTCACGGCGATGGCCGTGAGTCCTTCCGAGGAGACGGTGGCCATTGCCACTTCCACAAACCAGCTGCTTACTTTCTCTCTCAGCCCAACGGACATGCTCAAGGCAGAGGATAGCACCGTGGAACACGCACTGACGTCCTTCCACTCTGGGCCGATTTTCGGCCTAGATGTGTGCGTGCGGAAGCCACTGGCAGTGACTTGCGGAACGGACAAGTCCGTGCGTATTTGGAACTATGTGGACAAGACGCAGGAGCTCTGCAAGGTATTCAACGAGGAAGCATTCTCGGTTGCCTTTCATCCCAGTGGCTTCCACCTCATCGTGGGCTTTGCGGATAAAGTGCGTCTCATGAACCTCCTGATGGAGGATTTCAGGACGTACAAGGAGATCCCAATCAAGGCTTGTCGAGAGTGTCGCTTTAGCCACGGAGGGCAGTTCTTTGCGGCAGTGAACTCCAACACCATCCAGGTCTACAAGACCTACACCTGCGAGTTGGTTCTCAATTTGCGGGGTCACCAAAGTAAGGTCAAGGCAATATGCTGGACTGTGGACGACTTCCGCTTGGTCTCGACAGGGCAGGATGGTGCGACCTTTGAATTCGATATATTGAAAGAATCAACGAACAGGAAACAGGATTGGTCGCAGAAAGGAACTAGCTTTACCAGCATCATCGCCTACAGCAATCCTGAAGCGACTGCTCAGAGCACCACGATCTACGTGGCAGGGTCGGACAAAATGCTCAAGGAGGTTCAGGACTCGCAGCTGACCAATTACGTCGAGTCCAACGCCGTTCTTGGACAGCTAGCTCTTGCGCCCGCGGCCAAAGCTTTAGTTGCCGGCGTAGCAGAGCCTGACATGCCTGGCTCCCTGCGCTGCTACAAGTTCCCACTCACAGGAGACTATGTTGAGTACCAGGCCCATTCTGCGCCGGTATCGCGGATTCGCATCGCCTGGGATGAACTCTACCTCTTCAGCACTGGCGATGACGGCTGCCTGTGCATCTTCGATCTAAAGAAGCTGGGTGGCAAACAGGAGAAGGATTCCAGCCTTGGGCTGGGTTATGCTGACGAGATTCTGGTGACAAGCCAGTTTCTTGAAGAAAAGCAGGCGGTTTTATTGGACCTGGAGCGCAAGGTTGAAGAGCTCAAGGGCCGCATGGAGTACCAACTGCGGACACGCGATGGACTTCACAAGGAGAAGATGGCTGAGATGCAAGAGAAGTACGGTGAGGAAATCGAAACAGAGCGCCGAAAGTTCGAAGTGCTTCGAGAAGAGAAGGCTGAGGCAGAGATGGAGAATGAAGAGAAGATCAAGGACGAGGAAGAGAAGCATGCCAGGGACCTGCAAGAACAGCAAGAGTCCTTCGACCAGAAGATGATTGTGGAGGACCAGCGCTACAAGAAGCTCGAGAAAGACCTCGAACGGGAAAAGCAGGAATGGGCGACACAGCATGCCGCCCTCCTCGCGGAACATGCTCAAGTCATCGAGCAGATAAAGCAGGATGCCGAGAAGATCCAGAGGTCAAATCGGGATACCATGGACAGGATTATCAAAGAGAAGGAAGTGGCTTTCAAGCACCACCAGGAGACGCTAGCACAATTGGAGCGCGATGCAGATCGTGAAATCGAGGAACTCAAGGAAATGTATGAGCAGAAGCTGGCGCAGGAGAAGGACGACAAGGTGCGACTGCGCGGGCAAGCTGGGATCCATCAGAAGCACCACCACGACTTGAACACCGATATGATGAAAAAGCAGGATGAGGTCCAGAAGAAGGCGGACGAGAGCAAGAAGGCCGAAGAGAAGATCCTGGGCCTTGTGAAGGACAAGGACTCCAACGAAAAGGAGATCAAAGAGCGTGACAAGACCATCCACGACAAAGAGCAGCGAATCTTCGATTTAAAGAAGCAGAATCAGGAGCTGGAGAAATTCCGTTTCGTTTTGGACTACAAGATCCGAGAGCTGAAAGCCCAGATCGACCCCAAGACCGCAGACATCGCCTCCATGAAGACACAGACACAGGCTATGGAAGATGAGCTGAATGACTACAAGCGCAAGAACAAGCAGCTTGCGCTTCAAATCTCGCAGCTTCAGATGAAGCAGCGTGCGCTGCAGGAGGAGATCAAAGCACAGAAGAGAAAGCTGCGGGACGATCTGTCGCTCATCAAGCGCTTCAAGCTGGACTTGAGCGACTGCCTAGAGACCATCTCTGAGCCCAAGGCCTTGAAAGAGAGTGTCACAGCCCTCTACCGAAAGTATGTCCAGGGCGGGGCAAAGCGACAAGACCTCGACACAGACATGCAGAAGGAGTACAACAGGCAGCGCGACTACCTCGAGAAGTCTGTCGATTCGCTGAAGCGAAAGTTGGAGAAAGACAGCCAGGCCCACCGTATCGACAACATGCGGATAATGCAGGAGAATGTCTCGCTCATCCGAGAGATCAATGACCTACGGAGGGAGATCAACAACCTCAAGCACGAGCGGCAAGCTCAGGAGCTCGCAAACATGGGCCAGAGCATCCAGACCTCCAAGGCCGCGGATTTGGAACGTGAGCTGGACATGCAGCGAGAGGAGATCGCTTCACTTACGAAGCAGCTTAAAGACTACACTGGCTAAGCGGCTTAGCAATCCAGCGAGGAGGGTTTGGAGTTTGGAGTTTTAATGGGTTCACGGATTTCAGGGTGCAGGCTGAGGGAAGCACGAGGCTGTTGTTTTGGATCAGGCTTTCCTCGCGTGTTTGCTTGGCATGTTTCACGTCTCAATCGTCGAGCTTCCGTTTCACCCAACCCACAGAAGCCGTTAGTTAGGGTTGGAGCGGACAGCAGAACAACTGTAGGCAATGCTCATGGCTAGTGAGGCTGTTTGTGGGATGATGTGTCACCGCAAATCAATGCCGCCAGCCCTGGAATTCAAAGACAGACAAACAGGCCCAGTAGAACAGACCTGCGACCCATGGCCCTCCCTACCTACCTACCTACCTACACACACACACACACACAGACACAGACACAGGCAGCCAGGCAGCCAGGCAGACAGAATAGTCTAGTCAGACACAGACAGACAGACGAACAGACGGACAGCCACAGACAGACAGACAGACAGACAGACAGACAGACAGACAGACAGACAGACAGACAGACAGACAGAGAGACAGAGAGACAGACAGACAGACACGCTCACAGACGCAGACACAGACCCAGACGCAGACACAGACGCAGTCCCAGACGGAGACGCAGACAGAGAAAGAGACAGAGAGACAGACAGAGAAAGAGACAGAGAGAGCGAGAGAGAGAGAGAGAGAGAGAGACACAGAGAGGGATAGAGACAGAGACACAGACACAGACACATACAGAGACATAGACTCAGACGCAGACACAGACAGACACAGACACAGGCACAAGCAGACAAACAGACAGACAGAGACACAGACAGAGACATAGAGTCAGACACAAACACAGACAGACGTAGACACAGACACAGGCACAGACAGACACAGACAGAGACATAGAGTCAGGCGCAGACACAGACAGACATAGACGCAGGCACAGACAGACAAGCAGACAGACAGAGACACCAGACATAGGCACACACGCACGCATGCACATGCACACACACCCACAGCCACACCCGGGATATTGGCACAAACATAGCTTTGGCCGGTCATTTGTCTCAGGGCTGCGGTGGAGGCAAATTGCGCCGCCAACCGCCGGCAAGAATCGTGACCGTCGTGATCGACACAATATTTCAGCAAAACATGCGCCCGCTGGAAGAACAGTGAAGGAATGCTAGTCTTCGAGCAGCATTTGCAAAAACTTGCAAGACAAGATGTAGAATAGAACGCCTAGTGCCATGATGCTTGTCATTGCTTGGTCGCAATCATGCCGTCCTACCCAGCAGCTGTGTTCAGGGTGATGGCGCAGGCTGGATTCTCACATATTGATACTGGTACTTGGAACGGCTCTGGCATCCGCTGATCTATGGCTCCTGGAACCCCTCACACTCAAAGACCTTGTCCTAACCAGCTTTCGCAGGAGGCTTCGTTCGCGCTCCAGGTTGGGGAGCTCTCAGACATCGTCTCCACAGATTCCGGGGAGCATCTGATCTTGCGAATCCAGTAGTGGTTTATTCGATCGCTTGGAGACTCAGCAGCGAGTCACCAGCGGGCTGGGTGCAATTAATAATCAGTTTGCCTCACCGTAGCGAGTTTTCTACATGAGCCTATAATATGAAACTGTAAGTAACTGGGTCGAGGGCCGAGATTATGCGGGCTTAGACTGTTTGTGGTGGCACGGGTCAGCCATGCGCAGCAAAAGAGGCGCCCTGGTGGTTTTTGCACTGGATTTCTTCACAAAGCCCACCCGACTCGCGAACATCTGCTATCAGCTAGGGCAAAGCACCGAATGTGTGGGATGCCCAAGTCGAATCACCGCCCATCCCGCGCAGCCTAGGCCGGTGGTCTATGCTTGGGGCTTCAGCGGGCGGGTCACTGAGATAAGTTGCGTGCTCGGTCCAGTCCTGCAGCACTCGCGCTGGCAAGGTCCGGCAGACTGGGACTCGAGTTGGACGAACCGAGCTGAGCTTCCGGAGAGGGACGCAGACCCAGTTCTGATCATGATGGATACGGAAGGTCGACAACAAGCTCGAGATGCTCCAGATCAGGGAGAGAAACAAGGCCCAAGTCCGAAGCCTCCGCTGCAGCGCAACGCACGTTTGTGTGGCTAGGGACTCCCGCCTGAGCGCACTCAGACCACCGGGCCGAAGCACCTGCGCCGGACTCCTAGAAAGACTGGGACTGGACCGAAGGAAGACGGGAGGGCGGAGGCTCCTGCGGCGCGATTCTTCGCCCGTCGCTGCGTTGCTCAGAGCTTTGAAGAGCCATGCGCCGGGTCTCGCTGCTCCTTTTGGCCTCGAGCAGTCCGTGGCACTGGAGCCGACCCAGCAGCCTGGTTGCGCTGCGGCCGTTTGCGGCCATGGCACCTCGATTGAAAAAAATACCTGCTATTGACTGCTATACTGCTACTACAGTAGCATTTGGCTTGCTTGAACTGCTTGCTCGGTCAGATATCAGGCATCGGCACCAATCACAGTGCTTACTACGGAGGCGAGGTCGCGGCCTCACATCCCGTAGGCGTTGAACATGCCTTGGAGGACGCCGAGGACAAGGCCGCCAAGATTGTGGAAGCGAGCAAGGTCCTAGAGGCTGAGGCAGGATGCGGCGCATGCCGCAGCTTGGTCGTTTTGAAGCTGTTCCGGGGCTTTCAGGTGCTTGCATGGTATCGTGACCGATGGCGTGGAAGCTCGTGGAAGCGCATGTGAGGCCACGACGGAGGAGGTGAAGAGCTACTATTGGTGGGAGGGCAAGGTCAACTTTGACCCTGAATGGCGAGTTGCACTGAAGACTGCCGCAACCCCCAAAGCAGTTGAGCACAGTGTGGTTGTCATGTCTGCTCGTTTTTGCGCTGCCCTGGCTCCGTACTCGTTTTACCTTTGCCAGCAATCGAGGCAGCTTTCTCAGAGGTGGAAGAGGTGGTGACGAGCCTGGGCCAATAATTGTCACGATTTGGCCCGCACCTTCGTGATTTGTGGGGATGGAGCCAAGGAAAGCTCACAGCTACGATCTGCCGATGATCATCTACGACCTTCCTGAGCCCCCTGCTGAACCTTCTTACTGGACAGCCGCCGTTGTATGATAGCTCGATGTTCTATTCCAACAAGGGGACCGGGAGCGCAGAAGGTGTCCGAATCAAAGGCCTGCCCCGACCCGAAGCTTGCCACCCAAGTGCAACAAACATGCAGCCTTCCAGGAAGGGCGTGCTTGCCATGGGAGGTGAAGAGGCCGTCAGTGTTGCCGAGACTTCCCCAGCAAGACAATCGAAGGTTGAACCCTTGAACACCTGCGTCTTGTGAGTTGCCCAGGAGAAACTAGTGGCAAAACGCATCGTGGCCTGCGCACAAGCTTCAGCAACGAGCTTGGCAGTCAAAACGGCAACCTGACGCAACATGCTGATCGTGTAGAATCTTGGCAAGGTGATGTGTTCCGTCCATAGCGGGCTGCTGTTAGCCACTGTTATTCCAGGGTTCAGGGCCACAATGCGCGCATTCCGTATGTGGCGTCTGCAACACAACTGGTACGCATGGCAGCCACAGCACATATTGGTGCTTCTGCGATGTGGAGTGCCAGCACAGCCGAGGTCGCAAGGTGTAAGCCGCTGGTTGAGGCCCAGGCGGGGCAGGCCGTCCGGTGGACAAGCATCGGAGGCAATGCGGGCTACTTGAACCTCAGCTGGCAAATTCAGGTGCGAAATTTGGAAATGCAAGTAGATGCAATTAGCACCTGCCATACCTTCATTGCTGCAAGCGATTAGCTTTTCTTCCTATGTGAATGTTGGTGTACCAGCAATGCGCGTTCGATATCGACTGTTCGTCCTCAGATTTAGACACCCGATGGGATGTCACTCGCCTTCGTGGCACGTGAGAGTGTTGCCGAGGAAGTGGCTGGAAGACGAGTGTGTCGGTGTTGAATGAAGTTGTGGTAGCAGTGTGCTCCTCCAAAGTGAGTCGAGCTATTGCAGGTGTGCGGATCTGCAGAGTTAGGCTGCGCTGACAGAAACGTCGTCGACCTGCACACGACTAGGAGAGAGACTTCCTGTCCACCGTCCACCGTCTACCGACTTGCCAAGCTGCCGATGCGGGAGAGTGCATCCGTATTGAGCTCATCGCACCTACCCAAGTCATCGGGAGCTTTGGATCTTACTTTCTCATACTTTGTGACCTGCGCTTGTCATCCCGATTCGTTTAGGCTTGAGACACTTCTGGTATGGTGCCTTGCCTCGAACCAACTAGTGCCGGAGCTACCACTTTGCAAACAGGCAGGTGCCACCTGATGGCTCGTCGCATGAAGTCGCTCCCAAGCCTCGTCACATTTCGTCACAACGGCGAGCGAGGTCCACGTCCAACACCATAGCTTCAGCATGGTTGAAGGGCGTTTACAGGCTTTGATGAAAGGCTTATGGAGTGTGGGGAACAGACGAGTCGAGAGCTCGTGAAGCCCTTGCTGGAGGTTGTTGCAAAGAATCCCTGTCTTTTCGGATCTTGATGCTTGGTTAGTTTCTCAGGCGTCTATCCGCCGATGAAGGTAGCGGCGACCTCAGTTCAGCCATTCCTCCCGAGGCCGCTTAATTTGATACAGATGAGTCGTGATCCGTTGTGGTAGCAGGGGAGGTAGTCATTTCGAAAAGCAAGTTTGTTTTCTCGCTTGCAATTTGTCGTGCTCAGAAGGCAGCTCAGCCACAGCCGTCAAAACCGACTAAGGAGGAGCGCTGGAAGCCCAAGGTGCGGGAGAGCAACCAAAGCGTGGCGGAGGATGCCGCAAAGCTGGACGAGCCCAGCTGGATGCCCAAGAACCTTGCAAAAGCACAGTGTGCTTAGTTTCCTTCGAACGGGAGCCGTAATAATTTCCGGACCATAACGTGAACTTGTTTGATTCTGTCTCGGGATTCGGATTCCAGTTTTTTTTTGCGGTGCTCAAGCTGTCAGCGATGCAACGATGCAACTAACGTGTTTCAACGAATCAGCAACTGCAGCTGCTGCTCGATTCTGCCGCAGCGATGTTAGGCACTGTAGAAGCAACGGCTTCGGCTTTCTGTGCCGCTCTCCGTCCTTTTGGAGCGTTAACCTCCAGAGGCAACACATGGAGTGACTGCCAGCGAAAGCTCTTCGAGGAAAAAGCAGCCGGGACCCTGAAATGAGAAGCTCGACGCATGTGCTCCTTGGCTGAGTTTGAAGCTTTCAGGACTGCAAGCTCAAGGCCTTGCAGGACAGGGAACGGCAGGCAGTGACAGGGGGCCGAATGATGCAGCGAGAGCAGCGGCTTAAAGCCCGAGCATGCTGACCTTGGCTTTCCAGGTCAAGCGCATGTGCGACGGTCACCTGGATTTCATCTACAAAATGTGGGACAAGCCCGACTCAAGCGGGAAGCTCATGATCGCGGCTCACTTGCTGCGGCTTTCCACATACGCCGCATGCCACATCATGCCGCATGAACCCAGGGTCGGACCCATGCGAGTACGAGTCCAGGGCTCAGTGCGAACGGCCTTAGGGTCTAGGGGAGCAAGCGGATGGGAACAGCGGCGCTGCTATGTTCAGGCTCCGCCATCTTCGGAAGGAGCTTGAGGTTCACCAAGTTGAATTTAGACCCATCCTGTGAGGGCACTTTGAGACTCTGCAGGTGGACTATATCCGAACTCTGCACGTCGCGGCCCTCGGCGCGGAGTGCGAGTGAGATGTTGGAGCCGTAAAGGACAACCTGCATCGTAGCCGTGCTGCAGAGAGTTTGCCGCCCTTGATACCCAGGCCATGAACCTGGATGGAAGCGGCGAGGGCCCTCAGATGGAGAACGCGTATTGGGCGGGGGACTCGGCTATAAAGCCAGCGTTTGCAAGCGTCCGGAGGTTCATCCTGCAAGCAAGGTCAAAACTGACCCCGAGATCAAGGGAAAGCTTTGCAAATTCGAGGTGCCACACATGGCTCGTGCGGAGTCCAGCACATTGCTTTGAAGACGGCTCCCGGTCTGAAGGAGCTGGTGTGGATCCTGCAGCAGCAGCCGGTGTACATGGCACGCCTCAGCTCGGCCTTACGAAAAGGATCCTTGCAGGACCGGAACTCAACAGCCTCTCTCCCCAGCTCACTCTCTTGCTCTCTCTCTCTCTCTCTCTCTCTCTCTCTCTGAGGGTCTGGAAGTGCACTGGCCATCCCACGACTCACCCAGACAAATTACCACGATGGTGCACCCAATGGTCTTTGCCCTCTTTTGATTTTTCGACCCCGCCCCCTCCATTTTTAGTTCCAGGATGCGCGACCTGAATCTGGAGAGAGTCTAAGGGCACTTGCCGTCGCTTTCAACCAGCGTCTTGCTTGGTTTGATAGCTGACTTCGAGGAAGCAGACAATCGCACCTTCCGCACCATGTGCGAGCGCATCTTTCATGATCTCTTCCAACCACGCCGGGACCTCAACTGCGCTCGCGTCGGCATCCCCGATCCTGGCAAGGGTCGAGGCTGAAGGTTGCCCTGCGGTAGAGGCTCCTTCTCCCTTGTTTCAGCGTGTACATGCCAACACGGGCCTTTTGGCTGCGTGCAAGTGGCTAGCTGCCCGACGCGAGCCTTTCTCGGTCATGTTAGCATGTTGCTCAGGCACGGTGCATCTCTTCAAATCTATGCCGGTGTCTCAAAACAGAGGCTGTGGAGATGCTAGCTTCGAACTAGAACGCCCCTTACCCCCGAGGTTGAGCCTCATCATCAAGTCCGAGATGCAGCAGGACCACATACATGTTCAGCTGTTTCGCTGCATCGCCCTTTCACATCCGTCCCATCCCACAAGAAGGGAAGATGACGAGTTCGAAAGTGGAAGCAGTAAGGCTCAGTAATGCAAGTGGTGAGCGGTGGTGAGCGGTTCGGCACCACCCTCCTTTCTGCTATCGCAAAGCCAGAGTCTGGCCTCCCTGGGCTGTAACTTCGAATTTCCAGAAGGGGGCAAGTGTCGGTTGTTTCTATGCCAAGCCAGGGTTGTGAACTACTTGCCACTTGGAGAACATGTCGCCTTCCTGCCTTCAGCAATGACAAGAACCATCTCGAGACCCGGCAGTCTAGCCAACGCTTTGCGTCAGGCACAGGGGATGCAAAATACGCGCGCACACATCAACACGGATAACACCTCATCCCTCAGCCAGGCCAAGTTCCTCCACGACCTCTTCGACCCGTTCAAGTCACACGCGGCATCCTTGATCACACAGCCCGATGCCTCAGCTTTGCCGTCAGAGTTTGGAAGAGAGTTGCTCAGCTCTTACGCAAGCGGACTGCCCAGAATGTTCAGGCTCTCCACGCACTCGGCCTTTGTGGAAGGAATGGTGCTGCCCATCCTCAACCCGCAGGCCTCATTCTTCAAAGGCTTGACGAGATCTCTCAGCTTTCTGGTCCTTTGAGCTGGAGGGCATCTCAGATAAACATTTGTTTTTGATGTAGTCTGTGATCACGCTACCTAACCGCAGGTGGAGACCTCCTTGGTCTCTACCATCATCCGATACACGCTTCTGAAGAGAGCCGCCCGGCACAGCTGTTCAGTCTAGCTCTCATGCACCTTCGACTTTCTAGCGCATGTTTCCTTGAAGCAGCGCATCTCCTTCAGGGTTTTCGAATGCTTTCAATCTATGCCTACTTCTGGAATCTTTCCTAATATAGAGCTCTGATGTGTTTCGTGTTTCTCGCAGCGTCATCCCCCGGCGTCTAGTGCTAGTCTGTGCTGGGTGGGCTGGTGCTGGAAAGGGTGCGGACCTCCGGGGCGGCACGAAGAGTGCGGACTCAGGGCGACGGTGCCGTACAGTATTCTGTCTTCGGACCGTATACAGATGCAATCGTATACTGCAAGACCTAAAAACCTAAAAGTTGATGCGAGTTAAGCGGCAGGGACTCTGATACTGCTGGGACATGGGACTCCAGCAACTCGGTGTATTACTCGCGCGAGGTCTTGGTGCATTGCTACCTGTTCCATCACAGTCACGGGTTGCAGCATACCGTTGAACAGAGACTCGGGTCGTGGCGTTGGGGCTTCCCACCTCACAATCTCCCGCCTTCCTCTTGGGTCGTAGCAATGGTGCTCTCCTTTCCCACCCACAGGTCGTAGCATTTGTGCTCCCCGCCCGACGACTGCCAGTATGGTGGCGACGCTGGTTCATCCCAGGTTGCAGCGATGGGGCTCCCTGTTTCGAGATACACCTTGACCTCATCGATTACAACTTGTGCAGCCAGTTTAAACTCCGAGGAGGCCGATGTGCTCATGGCGCAGATTGGGACCGTACTTGAGCCCACACGTGTCCCCCAACAGGACTATGTCAGCAATCGTTAGCAAGTCGCCGACTTGCTGGATGTTCCACCCCCCATGGCCACGGTGCTTGAAACTAGCGGATTTGCCCACTGGCGGGACCACAACCTACAGGAGGCCGTTGAACGGGCCACCTCTGTCTCCCACACTTCTGTAGGTTCAACTCAACCGCGCCACTCAGCCCCACCAGACGTTGCCTTGGGCGCAGAAGTCTGACAAACAGTAAAACTCGATTGGTTCTGCTGCTTGCTTTGCTTGCTTGCCTGCCTTGCACGGGGCCACGACGTTTTCGGAGCTTCGTGTCGCACTTGCGTCTTGACTCTTCGGGGGCGGAGACAACGCGCGTGCCCATCCCCTTGCCGGGGAATGCCCGCCCTCCCTCTCTCTCGCAGTGTCATCGTATGCTATCTGATACCGATATGTGCTGCTCCTTTCCCACTGTTGCTGTTTTGTTCTTGTCGGTTTTGCTTTCGTGTGACCTTTTTGTGAAGCGTATACAGGTATGTCTACGGTGCCTACGGTCTATTTCAGCAGCTTCATGCTAACAGATCGGGGATTTGGGCAATCTTCTCCGAATGTAGGCTTGACGAATTTTGTGGCTCTCATTGTGGTTGTTGTTGACTTTTCCGCGTTGTTATCAGCCCCGCTGCTGCTGATTCAGCTGGAGCGAAGTCTGCACAGACTCTCTTTCAGCCTTGGCTAAGGATGGTGAGACGCCCCGTGTGCTTGGGACGGGCTGGCACGTGCACGGATGTCAACCATTCTGGTTTGGAGCATCAAACTTTCTGACAGGCGGTGTGCATGGGGTTTCCGTAAGGTTTGCTTGCACCCGAAACATGCGGAAGTTCAACAGAAACCTCACAAACTACACAGGTTCCTGCAGATGACAAGGCTCAGGGCAGTTGTCCGCGACATACCTAACTTTCGCTTTCCTCAGGGAGTTTTTAGCTAGGCATGCCAGACTTCACCGTCCCCTTTCCCTGAAGCAAACGTCAGAGCTGCCTCTCCGCAGGACAGAAGCTCCAGAACATTCCCATGTGACTGGGGTGTTCACAACGCACTATCCAGAGTATCAGGACGGCGCGGTCACATCAAGCAGCTTAGGCTTAGATGGTGTTCGAATCATGGCTCAGCGCCCTGCCTGCGCCGCCTCTGCCTTGCACCTAGACCTAGAGCGCTGCAGGAACTGGTGAAGAAGGCGAACGCCGACAAGGCTGCGCATCCAGGCGCCAGCTTTGCACGATCGCGCATGCAGTTGCAGTCCCTCTTCAAGCAGTTGAGGTAAGACGTCGCAGAAGAGCTACCTCTACAACTTTCAGAACGAGCTAGCAGACCTCCAGCGAGCTTGTGGGAAGGCCAGCGCTGGACCAATCATGCCATGCAAAGCGCTCGCATATCCACAGAGGTTAGCAGTGCACTTGACGCACAAGCACTGACATGTTGCCGTGCACAAGTGCTTCGTCATGGCAGCTCATACACCGCTCCGAGCTGTTCCGCTTCCACCTTCGACTCTTTCGCATATGTGGGTTTGCGATGTGATGTTTTCAGGCCGACTCTCTTCATTTCCCGACGTCCTGTGCCCTGCCAGCTGGCACCTGCAGATGTAGCAGTACAGTAGTAGCACCATCCGTCTTTGTCGTCGTCGTCGTAGTTGCACTACTGCAGCAGTAGCAGCCAGTAGCAGTTGTGGTAGTAGTAAGTAGTAGTAGCAGCAGTATAGTAGTAGTAGTAGTAGTAGTAGTAGTAGTAGTAGTAGTAGTAGTAGTAGTAGTAGTAGTAGTAGTAGTAGTAGTAGTAGTAGTAATAGTAGTAGTAGTAGTAGTAGTAGTAGTAGTAGTCGTCGTAGTAGTAGTCGTAGTAGTAGTAGTAGTAGTAGTAGTGGTAGTAGTGGTAGTAGTGGTAGTGGTAGGAGGAGTAGGAGGAGTAGAGGGCCAGGGGCCAATGGCCAGCTCACCCTCTCTATCGGCCAAGACGACCGCTACACCGAGCTCAAGTCTACCACGGCGTACTATGGCATCGCGCACGCCTTATTCCAGAAAATGTGGGACCACGTGGACATGAACTCTGTGCTTGAGACGGACGAGAACTTCGAGATCGTTGCCTCCACCTTCAAGTGCATCTACGACCAAACCTCCAGAAAGAGCGGCGGCCAAAATCGTGCCATCTTCCACCAGCCCCGCGATGGACAAATTGTCCGCAAGCTCAGGATCGAGCACAACAAAGGCGACACTGCCATATACCAATGGCATCGTCAACGAGAGCAGCGCGACGAGCGCTCAAGTGAGGAGACCCAAGCTCACACTGACAAGCGCTACCGAGACGGCGATGCCTGGTCTCGAGGTGGTTGGTGGAACCGTGGCTCCGACTCTGGAGCCAGTGGCAGTCGCTCCTGGCATCAGTGAGCCCTATCCATCACAGACGGTGCCAGTGGCCACACGAGTAGCTAGCAGCGGAGGCACTGCCTGTTTCTTCTGACCTACCGCACGTCTCTTCCAAGACAGACTGATGGCCTTTCTGCCTGAAGCCGTTGCTGTCAGTCGAAAAACAGGTCAGTGCCTGCCGTCAGACTCGTTGCTGCTGCACTGCTGCAAGCATGCACCACGCAGATCAGTTCCCGACACCTTCAGGTACACCATCACAAGATGGAGCTCGGCATTTCGTTGCCTGCAATGCCACTCTGGCCGACCTCTGCCAGTCATCCAGAAGCCACGTCGGCCGCGTTATCTCTCATAAGGTCCTTTTTTGACCTGGGCTAATCAGTCTCAAGGGTCTGAGTCAGTTTCACACCAAAGTGAGTGCACCGCGGCAATCGCCCGCTATGTGCTGAGCCCGCTCGCCCAGCGTTCAATTGAAAATAGGAGGAGTAGAGTAGCAAAAGTAGGAGTAGGAGTAGGAGGAGCAGGAGTAGTAGACGTAGCAGGAGTAGTAGTGGTAGCAGCAGCAGCAGTAGTAGTAGGAGGAGTAGGAGCAGTAGGAGTAGTAGCAGTAGTAGTAGTGGTAGTAGTAGTGGTCGTAGTAGCAGTTGTGGTAGCATTAGCAGCAGTAGCAGTCATAGTCGTCGTAGTAGTCGTGGTAGTAGAAGTAGTAGGGAAGTAGTTTAGCAGCGGTCAGTAGTAGCAGTAGACGCAGTAGTTACTAGTTGTTGTTGTTGTTGTTGTTGCTGTTGTTATTGCTGGTGCTGACTCCGAATGGTCCATCGACAGGAGCCCGCAACTTCGGGCTATGACAGCAAGGAGTGATGCGCCTTTTGAGCGTTGATCGTTCATCATCTCTTCAGGTTTGAGTTTGGGCGAGGTTTGTGAGCGACGTGTGAGGGAACTGGCCACCATGCCATTGAGCAAGCAATGAAGTTTGCTGCAGCAGATCCTCAGCCTTCAAAATCACGCGGGGTCTGTTGATGGGCCGCTGCCATCGAGCGCAGGATGTGCATGCGGGCTGCATCACAAGCTTTATAGAGCACTTTGTCGGTGCCCGAGCAGGGCTTGTGTCTGCAGTCTGCAGCGCTGCCTGCGCGAGACCGAGCCTTTAGGTTTCTGAGAGGCTTGTGAATTGTGAACGCCCTCCAGACCAAAACACAAACTGCAATCGTAATGTCTACTGGCCCAGTGGCGTCAAGCAAAAACTTTGAAGGCTCGCAGAAGGCCATGTGCAGGAACTGGGCTCTCTCTGCTTCGAGGCTTCAGCTACCTGCTTGTAGCGTTCTATCGGTTGCACTCTCCATACAAAGAATCACGAGCCGATGCCGTGGTGACAGCGCCAAGGTGATGGACCTTCTGGCAGAGGACTGTGCAAAAGATTTCCGAATGTTGCTTGTGTCACTGGCCTCAGGTTGGCAGTCTGTGCACATGCCATGTGAGGCTGCTACTTTTGTGCTTGCTGGTACCGGCGATTGCCGGCCAATTCCACCTTGGCGAGCTGTAGTAGAGCCTATGCATGGCTCAGGTGCGCTTTCAAGACCATGCTAAACGACTGCCCGGCCGCCGATTGGCTGAGAATTCAGGGGCTATGTGGTGGACAATGAATTGGCAATTGACCAGGAGAGAGTCAGGGAGACTGAGAGACTTCGCGGTTTGCACAGTCCTGATGAAAGGAGCAGTGATGGGGTTCGACTCTTCTTGCCGAGTGTGTCACACAACGAGGCCAAAGGATTCGAAGAGTCAGAGCCCTGCCCTTGGATGCATGCGGTGGATGGGCAGACGGCCTCCAAAGGCTATGCTACAGGCAAGCGGCTTTGGCCCAAGCTGAGATTCTTTGCACAGTGATTGCTGAGCATCCTGTAGCGGACTCACTCCTGCCCTACGTCAAACCCGAAGTCTTTGCCCTCAGTCCTCGCGTCTGCACCCCTTTGGCTTCTCTGGCGCGGCCCTGAGAGGAGTCGACAGAAGGTTTCAAGGTCAGGTTCTGTGGTGCAGCGTATCTTGAAGCATGGAAAGCCGTTGGTTGTATGGCCCCGACGGCTGCAGCCGCTGGCCCTCGGAGCTCTGCTCCATAGCAGCGTGCGAGCCGAGGTTCTGGGCAACATCATCGGCAGTGTCCTTGAAACCGTAGGTCAACGAAGGTACAGTGCGACACCAAGATGCCCCATGCCCGCCGGTTGAGGACTTGGCAAGAAAGCCCCGGTTCCAAGGCTTGGTCGAGCTGAGCATTCGAAAGCAGGTTTTGGAAATGTTTTCCAACGTGCAGAGGCCTGGCTCCGACTGCAGCAATTCACGCGTAGTTCGCATGTCCGTGACACGTCATTGGTTTACTTTAGCAAGAGCATGTAAGCGGCGGCGAGTGAGAGTCTCGCGACCCTCAGGAGCGACATGGCGGTCAAAGGGCTTGCTGGACGGACAGTAGCGAAGATGTTTGAAGATAACCTTTCTGTGATATGAGGGTGTGAGCACACTTCGGCTAGGGCACTTGGCAAACGTACATAACAGGAACTTGTTTGGTTGCTTCACCCTCGCCACTGCAAACGGCTGAACGCTGGTGTCTTGAAACTCTAGCTGGGACCAGGTCCACATCTTGTTCTGACTGCATGTTCGTTTGGCTTAGAACTGGAGATTTGCAATCCTTAAGTCTGCAGTTTCTTTTGACGCAATGTGCCGGCGAGGCGGAAGGGAAGGCCAAAGGGAGACCTCGAAGTGGACCCCAATGATGTGGCAGCTGGGTCGCATTTTCAGGTGGAATGAATTTTTGAAGGAATTTTTATTTTTTTTGCATTTTTTGTGGCGTTTGGATTCTCGGCTTCTGGGCTTTCCTGGCTGGTTTGCTGTCTTCTTGTGGCTTCTTGGCTTCTGGGCTTTCCTTCCTAGTTCGCTGTCTTCTTGGCTTCCAGATTTTCCTTCTTAGCGTTTAAACTATTCGGCTTCCTAGCTTCTGCACCTTGGCTTTCCGGCTTCGTGGCTTCTGGGATCCCTAGCTTGGTTGTTTACATAGACTTCCAAAGTTCGGGGCTTCTGGGCTTCGTATTTTCGTCACATTCTAGCTTCTGGGCTTCTGGGCTCTCCTTCCTGGCTTTCCAGCTTCTGGGCTTCTTTGGATTCCTGGTGTGTCGGCTTCCTGGCTTCTTGGCTTTGACATGCATGTATGCACGTCCTGCGTAGCGCATATGATTAAATTCTATGAGGCCTTGTATGGTCTGTTTATGCTGTATGTAACAATATGTAGACTGTATTATATATATATATATATATACACATACACACACCTAGATACATACATAAAGCACAATGTACCAGCATTTAATGTATATACGGTATATCTGTCGTACTGACCTCATGTCTCCGAGCTGCCACCGGCAGGGGCTGTTTGGGGGCGGGTGGGGGGAGAAGCATATATGTGTATATATATATATATATGCATATATATATATATATATATATATATATATATATGTACACACACACCCACACCCACACCATGTGTTTATATGGTCAGGCGTCTGGCGTTCCCAGGCCCCCCCCCCCCCCAATGGTATTGGTATGGTCTGCTAGGGGGGGGGGGGGGGGGGGGCTGGCGTGTGCGGAAAGGGGTCGGGGCCGTTGGAGCTGCCACTCAATAGCGGGATGGTGCTGGCGGCCAGGGCTCACACGCAAGCCCTTCGCGAGCAACCCGTAAACCCTATAACGCAGCGTGTGCCCCGGTTTTGAGTCACCTTCACTTGCACTTCGAACCTTACACAAAGCCCTAAACCCCACCTAACTGCAGGCTCTAAGCCTAACGCAGAACATACACCGCAAATCCTCCCTAAGCCCTTGTCGACTCGAAGCGCTATACCTTGTAACCGTAAATCCAACAGTCAAAACCTTAAGCTAAACCCCAAACCCAAAACCCCACAACCACCCCACAGGGGAGGGGGGGTCCCACCCTATATCCGGACCATTGACCTTTGGGGGGGGAAGGGGGGGGGGCGCGGAGCGCGTGACCATATATACATATGTTTCTGGCCCGTCTAAGATATGATGAATCGGCTTTGAACGCGTCGAAGATATCTGATGAACAAACCGCCAAATGAGGAGCTGGCTATAGATGTACGATGAACCGTAGCGCCAAAGGATGGCGTGCTTAAGACTTAAGGCTCAAGACATATGACGAATCTGTGTCGCCAACGGTCAAATGAAGGGGTCTGTTGGAGATATTTGATGAATCGGTCCTGAACCTGTTGAAGATCTATGACGAACCCGAATCGCCAAATGAGGGGGTGTGTTTTAGACATATCCGAATCGCCAAGGGGGGTGGGCGTGTTCGTGTTTAAGATGGATTTTTAACCGGAATCGCCACACATGTTGGTGTGTGTGAAAGCTGTAAGATGAGCCGGAATCGCCAAATGAGCTTGCGTGTTTAAGTTCTATGAAGAACCGGAATCGCCAAATGACGGGGCATGTGCAAGATATATGATGAATTGGGGGGGGGCATGTTTCAGATGGATGTTGAGCCGGTATCGCCAAACGAGGGGCCGGCGTGTGTAAGATATATGATGAACTGGAGTCGCCAAATGTTGGGGCGTGCAAAAAATATGTGATGAACCGGAATTCGCCAAATTAAGGGGCCAATTTGAGACATATGATGCATCGGCTGGAACCTGCTGCAGATATACGGGGCTTGTTTCAGATACGGAGTCGCGAAAGAGGGGACGCGCTGGCGCTCTTCAGATGCATGATGAACCGGAATCGCCAAACGCGGAGGGGTTTTTAGGATAGATTCGGATAGATGTTCAACCGGAATAGCTACAGGACGGGACCAGGCCATTTTGGCTCAAGATCTCGGCTCGAGAACAAAAGAGTGAAACTGCTAGTCTGAGGATCGTGTGGTGTCTACTCTTTCAGGGCTCTGGGGGCTTCCTGCTGGAAAAGGTTGGTCGTAGGGATCCTGTCTCTCTCTTCTGCCTCGAAACTGCTTCTTCTTCTCCTCCCTGCAAACAGGATGCCTGCAGAAGCAACACCCCTGCCCGCGGTAGGACGGCACACAGAAGCTTTGGAGAAACCACTGAGAGGACGAACAAGAAGTGAAGCTGGTGAGAGGGCGACCAAAAGAGATGGACGCGAAGGGAGAAAACCCAAGAACTCTAGAGAACCTCAACACTCCAGAGAACGTCAAAACAAGCTATCGCCAGATATCCCTGTTCCCGAGAGCAAGAAGCTCAAAACCGAGAAGATCGAGACAGAGTCTGCCGACACTGACATGCCGGATTTCGGGGGAACAGCCACAGCCTCCAAGGCCTCGAATGCATCTTCCCCCAACCACAAAACAGCCATCGAAGCCTCTACCCCGCTTCCCAAGATCAACACAACTTCTACCTTTCACAATACCATGCCACCCGCACACAGTACTTTTGATCTCACTGCTAATGACGATGATGACCTTGATGAAGATGTTGATCGCACCCAACCAGATCAAAGTGGTGACGGAACAAGTGGTGATGGATCGAAAGAGAAACAAGGTGACGATGATGAACTCAAGACTGCTGTACCCACCGATGCACGCACATATGTTGCACCCCCTATTGCCCCCACCCTCAACAGCCACAATTCCGTTGCAGGAGTTGGTCCTTTTCCTTTGGGTAATGACGCTCCTCCATGGATTCAGGAAATTCAGCAGGGGATTATGAGGCTGCACAACAAAGTGGATTTGTCTCGAAATGAGCTTGCGCAGTATGGGGCTGAAATCCAAGCCCAGGGAGTCAGGGTTTCACACTTCGAAGCTGTAGCGCACATGAACACACCCAGCACATTCTTCAGGCACAACAGCAGATTAGGACTCTTGAAGCTCGTATCCAAGAACTTGACAAACTTCAGGACTTTGAGAAAAGACTGCATGAACTTGAAAATGCTAAGCGTTCCCTGACCCCCCCTCGTGTCAACCTTCGAAACGGACCTCCATCACCTAGATCTCCACGCAGTTCGGTTGACAGCAGAGAAGATGAGGGTGACCTTGATATCATCATTGGAGGCTGGACCGATGCCAAGAAAGTCGATGCACAGCCAGAAGTTGCCAACATGTTCCAGGCAATTGGCCTTCCCGACAGCTACGATGATCTTTGGGCCCCCTACAGCCGTACTAACTTTATTAAAGTTCAGCTTGTCTTCAAGGACCCGCAGGCCCATATCAAGTTCCGACGAGTGCAGCAACTGCAGATTCTTGACAAGCTCAAAACCAAGAGGTTCACGAGTGGTGTACCAGGCTCAGAAAGAAACAAAATTTGGGCCACCAAGAGCAAGACAAAAGAAGAGCGGGAACGAGTTAGAGCCCTTGTCTTGACTAAAGAATTCCTGAAGAACCTCCCTGGACACAACAACAGGCCTCCCATCCCTGAGCGAGACATTGAGATCATTTGGAACGGCAGACTTTTCGTTCATCAGTTCCAACTACTCGGATCTATGGACAGGGATGGAGAACCAGTCATCAATGATTACATTATCAGTGATGCTAAAGGCAATCACATACCTTGGTATGTTCGAGCGTCACAGTTCGAGAGCCTCACAGGTTTCCCCGCAGCAGAACTGTCAGACTTGTGGGACAAACACTGTCCCAGCAACCCCTGACCTGCGAAACCCCCTCAAACCTACGCACAGTGCGCAGCTAGTTGGAACGTCCAGGGCAAATCACTCGCTGATATCGCTATTGCGTGGCCGGCCTTGGGACTTGAAGGAACCGATTTTCTGGGACTTCAGGAGGTTGGAGGTTTGGGGGATCAAAGCAAGCCCTGGGATACCGTGCATGTTGAGTTTGACGAAGCATGGACCTTTTATAGTTCGAATCCACCTAAAGCATGGAGAGCTGTCCTTTTAGGGATGCCCTCGAGATTGGCGGGAAATGTTGAACAGGTCATCCCGCTCGAAGTAGGAGTTTGTGTGATCTTGCAAATGCAAGGATACAAACAATTCGTAATTAGTGCACATCTTCCACATCGGCTCCGAGATGACTGTTTGTCATGTTGGCAGAATTTCCTTGACCACCTTGATAGCATCCTTCGTAAGAGGCGGTACTTTGATACTGTCGTCCTTTCTATTGATGCCAATTATGAATTGGGTGCCTCGCCTGCTTCTGATCCTAGTGCTCACATTGATGAGAGGGAAGTCTGCTGCCAACTCCTCCTGCGAAACCACGGTTTAGTTCATACTAGGCCTGACTCGGATACCTGGAGCAATACTCGTGGAGCACGCTCCAAGATTGACTTCGTGTTGGTGTCTTCCCCCACCAATGTATTACTGCATGATAGTGTCTTCCATGACTCGGATGAGCTGCTTGGTTGCGATCATCGCATTGTAGCGGCCACCTTTCCTGTCTCCAGGAACCCTAAGTCCCCAAGGCCTAGACGTGCAATCAATAAGTGTGGAAAGTGGTCTGCAAACTCCAGCAAAGTCTTCGAACAGGCCCAACTTCTGTGCCATAAACTTGATCTTTCTTGCCGGGATTTGCAGCCTGCTGACCTTGCAGATCTCGCTGCCAAAACTTGTTATCGCCCCCAGAGTTATAGGTACAAGGACACGCCCGAAATCCTTGATAAGATTCGTCTTCGTCGTAGGGCTACTGGCAGCGAGGCACGGGCACTTGGTAAGGAAATAGTGCGATTGCGAGCTGTCGCCAAGAACCTTTGGCTTACAGAAATCCTTGATAAATCTGCTAATGGTGACTTCAAAGCCATCAGCTACTTCAAAAG